TAATTCCAACCATAACCATAAAGCTTTTGATTGACCTTAAAAGGTACATGAAACTAGTAGTTGATAAGAACGGCTATGAATTAGCCATTTTTAACCGTGAATACCTGCTGAAACACTGTACAAAGCTTTAAACGGTGGTTATATTGATAATAATAAAACTCCTGATACCAAATGAAAAATGACAAAACAACAGAAGATAAACCTTCGTAATAAAGCCTTAACCGATTTATTCAACTCCCAGCAACTGCAAAAGAAGATTGAAGGAATTTGTTTAAGACACTATATCCCGATGGAAGCAGGTATTCAGGAAGATATTCTTCAAACGGTCTTTGAAAATTTGATTAAGTATGATTTGGAAAAATTTATTAAGGCTTATCAGGATAACCCCAATAGAATATTAGCCCTAGCGGTGGATATAGCAGTTAAGAAGGGGGTTGCAAAAGATACTAGGGTTCCATCAGGGTTTAGGGCAAGCATAGGGCAAAGCATTATCCACCAATCCAATCTTACCAGCCCGTTTAAAATCGGTTTTGAAGGGGTTGATGATATGGATGATGAACATAACCACAATATAAAACAGGTTATCAAAAGCGAAGATGAAGGTTATTATTCTTTGGAACAGCAACAGGAAAATGAATTTATGGAATTGGAACAACAAGAAGATTTTAAAAACCTCTGGGTTTATATAAGACAGAATCTTAGCGAAGCGGAAAATGAAGTTCTTCAACAGGTGCTTAAGCCTGAACAGGGCAAATTGAAGGGTAAGATAAAAAAACAATACTTGGCATTATTACCAAACATAAAGACACTAATCAAAAAATATTATAACAGATGAACGAATTACAACAAACCCAGATTGAACAGCTTCTTCCTTATTTAACCAATAAGAAGCCACATATTGAAGAAGTACATCTTGAATTGCTGGATTACCTAGTTAGGACAATCTTCAATGTAAGACCTGTCTTAAGCTGCGCACCCTGTAAAATGAATTATTTGGAACAACTCGCAGAATATTATAATAAAAGGAAGCCAATTGAAGCACCAGCGGCAATAATCCCTGAATCTAAAAAACCTTGCACAACCTGTAAGGATAAGACCAAAATAAAAAACTTTAAACAATCCTAAACCTATGACTATCAAGTATGCAATAAGCGCAACTAATGAACACCTTTCAAACGTTAGGCGTCAAATAACAAATAAGCAAGAAAGGGTAAATGAAATTCTTAAGGAAATTGAAACGCTTAAGAAAGATGAAGAAGAATTAAACGCTGAACTTAAAAACCTGTTATTGCTGGAAAAAGTTCAAAATAATATTAAGGAATTCAAAACAATCTAAAACCCATGTACACACCACAAGAAACAACCCAGCAATATTTAACCAGATTTGAAGGTTATGTTGATGAATGCAAGGCTAATGATATTGAGGCGACAAAGATGAAAGCAATTGTTGCAAATATTAAAGCACGTATTAAAATGAATAATAGCAAGAATGAAATTACCAGTGTTAAATGGTCTTTTAATGAAGAAACGAATCAATTTGAATCTGAGATTGAATTAGTCATTGATGGTAAACCTTTGGGTTGGCTTGCTGCATATTGTCCAGAACAAGTTGCAGGGCATACAAGTGAAAGAATCGTTCATGACCTAATAGAAAAAGCAGTTGAGCATGTCAAAGTAAAATATTTCTTTGTCATTGATACAGATAATATAAAAATTGAAGACACAACTAAAATCTTAAATCCATGAAAACCCTAATCAAAAGATTTATCAGCTGGTTAAAGTCCCTTTTCACCAAAAAGGAAACACCAGCACCAGTTACAGGTGATACCGTAACAATAAAAGGCGGCTATCAGAAGCCGGGAAATAAGTAATTCCTGATAACATACTTAATAATTAAATAATTGCAAACAACAATAAAAACAGTACAAAAAATGCCAAAAGGATTTCAAAAAGGACAATCGGGAAACCCAGCCGGAAGGAAGAAGGGAAGTGAAAACAAGATTACCAAGGCTACTAAGGATGCCTATCTTATAATTATGGAATTGCTTGAAGAAAGATTAACCAATGGTGGTGATGTAATTGGAAGGCTTTCACCGGCTAGGGCTGCTGAGATATATACCAATCTTCTTAACTATAAGAAGCCAAAGCTTAACAGCAATACCAACCAGAACACAATAGAAGGGGGCTTGAACATTACTGTCAAGTATGAAGATACCCCTGATAATGATGATAAGATTTTGTAACCCCTATAAATTAAATGGATGTTCAGATTACCCTTCCTAAACTTTATAAGCTTCAGCAAGAAATTGTTAATGACTCAGCGCGTTTTAAAGTTATTTGTGCTGGGCGAAGGGTAGGTAAGACAGTTATGGTTCAGCATGTTGCTATAAATGCAATGTTGAAGAATAAAAGGGTTTGTTATATAACACCAACATTCATATTAGCTGATGATGCTTTTGATAAGATGATTAAAGTGTTGCCACCAGTATTGATTGCGAAGCAACATAAAACCAACAGGCTTATTGAATTGGTTACAGGTGGAACAATTAGATATTTTAGCGGTGAAGCTATCAGCAGAACAAGGGGTTTTGAATTCGACGAAATAATTTGCGATGAGGCAAGTCAAATTGAAGGTTTGGCTAGTGAATGGAATTCAGCGCTTAGACCGTTATTATTGAAAACTAGGGGAACAGGGTATATGATTTCAACCCCCCTTGGTAAAAATGATTTTTATAGTTTCTTTCAGAAGGGTAAGAATCAGGAAAATGGTTTTAAGTCTTGGCAATTTTCAACATTCGAAAACCCACATCTTTCCAAGGAAGAACTGAATGAATTGATTTCTGAAATGCCTGAAGCTATATATAAGCAAGAAATACTTGCTGAACCTATGGCTAATGCTTCTAACCCTGTAGGTACTGACAATATCAATAAGAATATTATCACAACGCTTTCAGATAAACCAACTGTTGTTTATGGTATTGACTTAGCAAAGTATTCAGATTATACAGTAATTATTGGATTGGATTCTGAAGGGGTAATGACTTATTTTGATAGATTTCAATTGCCTTGGCAACTTACCCAAAACAAGATAACTGCTTTGGATTCTAGCGTTTTAAAAGTGGTTGATGCAACAGGGGTTGGGGACGTGGTACTTGAAGGGCTTCAAACTACATGTTCCAATATACAGGGATTTAAGTTCACACCTGAAAGTAAGCCTAAGATTATTTATGAACTGATTAAGGATATTGAATTGGGTAATGTAAAGTATAATCAGACTACTGCTGATGAACTTCATGTTTATGAATATAAGATATTGAATTCAGGTCACATTCAATTTGCCGCTCAAAGCGGATACCACGATGATACTATTGCAGCCCTTTGTATTGCTAACAGGTACAGAAATGAAGCAATAGCGGGGGCAAATTGGAAATTATATTTTGCTTAAATGTATACTTTCTGATTCTGCTAGATATATATAGTTAATGGCAATATTATACAGGCATATCAGAATAGATAAAAATGAAGTCTTCTATGTTGGAATAGGTAAGTCCCAAGCTAAGGGCTTATGACAAGCGGCAAAGAAACCGCTATTGGAATCACATCACTTCAATTACTCCTTACCAAGTTGAAATATTATTTGAAGACCTTACTTGGGAACAAGCCCAAGAAAAGGAACGTGAATTTATTAAACTTTATGGAAGAAAGGATTTAGGGTTAGGTACACTGGTTAACCTTACCGATGGTGGTGACGGTCAATTAAACGCTAGAAGACCATTATCAGCATGCCATAAAGAAAAGTTCTGTCAATACTGGTTGGGTAAAAACCTATCAGAAGACACCAAGAAGAAGATGTCTGAAGCAAGTAAGGGTAAAACAAAGACTTCAGAACACAGGGAAAACATATCAACAACCCTTAAAGGACTTGGGAAAGGTATCAGCAAATCAGAGGCAACCAAGGCTAAGATGTCTGAAGCAAAGACAGGGCTTAAGCATACCCAAGCAACCAAGGATAAACTATCAATAATAAATCAGGGTAAAAAGCAGACTGAAGAAGTAAGACAAAGAATGTCTGAAGCCCAAAGATTACGTTGGGCAAAACTGAGAAAACCAGCCTAATCCAGATAACATACTTATCACCTATGAAAGACATAAAAACAATAATCAAAGATTTGCCTAGTTCTTGGGATGAAGTAACCCTTGAAACATTCCAAAAGCTTACAACAGTGCTTGTTACTGAAGAAGCTGATGGTTTTGCAGGGGTAGAAAACAGCATTGCAATAATCAGCAAGCTTACAGATATACCCGTTGAACAATTGGAAGAATTCAGTCTAAGGGATTTACAAGCCCTAGGAAACAAAATAAGCTTCATGGTTGAATTGCCCAAGGAAAGGAAGGGAAGCATAACCAAGTGGAAAAGCATTGATGAAATAACTTATAATAACTATATAACGTTTATCAAGATTCCTGAAGATAAGCATCTGGAAAACCTTCATGTATTTGTAAAGCAGTTTTCCAAAACAGAATTGACTGAAGAAGAAATATTGAAGCTTAGTGTTCCTGATGTTCTTCATGGTTTTTTTTTGTTCAGAAAAAAGTTCAAACGATTGCTGAAGCGTTTAATCAGGTGGCAAAGATTGAAAATAATTCAGGGCCAAGCAAAGGAAACGGTACAGGGATTGAAGCGGAGAATAATAAGTTTAAGCAAACCATCCACCAAATAATAGGATGGCATTCATTAGCACGGCAAATAGCTATCTATACCAATGATAGCTTTTTCAAGATACTGGATTTGCCAGCCCTCGAAGTTGCTGGATTGGCAAGCCTGATGGCTTATGAAAGTTTAATAAATAAGTAAGAACAATGGCAGATTCATTAAAAGGGGCAACCAAAAAGGCAATTTATCAGAATAAAGTGCAACAGTTGGACGGCTTAGGCCAATCAGCAGGGGACTTTATTCAGGAAGCATCTTTAACCGTTATTGAAAATATCCTTGGTGATTTCGTGGAAAGGGTTCATAATAATATCAACGCTGAAAAGGGATTGGTTGTAACTGGTAAGATTGCTGAACTTGAGTATTCAAGGTGCTGAAGGGGCTGTTAATGTTGTTGGTAATAAGTGGTTGATTTATCAGGATAGGGGTGTTAACGGGGCTGTAATAAAGAAATATGATACTCCACACAGTTACACCAATAAGATGCCACCTGTTGAAGTGTTCAAGACTTGGATAAAGGAAAAGAATATCAGGTTAATCAATAATGAAAAGTATCAGGGTGACCCTTCACCCTTCAAGGAACTGACTGAAGAAGAACAAATAAATAGTGCTGCTTGGGGTATGGCTGTTAAGGTATTCAAAGAAGGTTTTAAACCTCGGAATATATTCAGTAAGGAAATACCAAAGCTTATAGAAGACCTTTCAAATGAAGTAGCTAACATAGGTGTTCAGGCAATTATCCAAGGGTTTGATGTTAAACCAACTGCTAAACGGGTTATTATCCCAAAATAAAATAAAGAACAATGATAAATTTTGTATCCATACCAGAAAGATTTGCACCAGCTAATAACCCAATAGTTTTTAAACTGTCTGGTTCATCAGCTGGTTTGCTGTTTTTCAAAACCGAATTAGTTGAAGCTACAACCCTTGCAACAATCTACACAGGGAACGTATACCCAACCCCTGTTAATCCAACAGTTGCATCAATAAACCTTACCAACCAATTATCAGCCCTTGTTAGAAGTGATGGTGATAATAATGATTCCTTCATAGCAACCGGCAAATCAAGGAACCTTATTCAATACAAGATTAAAGCAACTGAATACGGGTTATCAGGTGGAAGCCTTGTTGCATTAAGCAGCGCTTATACCCCAACCTATACAATCAGTGGAAGGACGTTTGATACATTTTTATGCTTATGAAGCCGCGTTTGAATGTTCCAATGTATGGAAATTACACAACTAGGGATTATGTTTTGTATTCAGGTACAACCTCTGCTTCAACTTCATTGCCAAGCTTCTTAACATCTCAGCCAGATTACAAGGAAGTAAACTATGATTCATTTGAACAGCTTTATTTTCTTCAGGATATTCAATTTACAGGTATTACTTACCCGATTATATATGATACAGGAAGTACCAACAACTTCAAAGCAGCCTTGAAGGTTAGGGTAACACACCCAACATCATCAGGGACAATTGGAACTGATTCCTTTATTATTACCAATGAAGTCTTAAATAATAATAATCATCCTGCAACATTTTCACAAGCCTTATTAACCATTACAGGAACTTGCAATGTTGGTGATAACATATCCATCTCAGCCAGTACAGGTACCACAGGGTTCTTATTAGGGGCTTATACAGCCGGGACAAGTGCAGATACAACAACTCAGATTGCAGCCAAGGTAGCGGGAATGATTAGCGGCAATAGCTATGGCTTCATGGTTAAGGTTACTGGTAATACCATTGGAATAAGTTCTTCAGGTAATACCGTTGGAATCACATCAGGTACTATCTTCCAACTATCCCAATGTAAGCTTGCTATCAAGGCTTGTAACCACAGGGACAACAGGAACCACAGGAAGCACGGCTGAAGTTCTTGCCAAGGTAACCTTTGCTGGTTATGCTGGGCCAAGTGCTGGTGATTCAGTGACAGTTGATGTTGTGGATAGTTTCTATGGTAGTGTTAATCTGATTACATATACAGTTTTAACAGGTGATACACCAATTGGGGTTTTCAGCCAAAACTTAGTTAACTACATCAATGCACACAACAGCTACGGATATTTTGCAGCAAGAAACAATTCAAGTTCCTTTAGCATCTCAGCCAGAACAGGTACAGGGGCTGCAATGAACGGTAATTCAGCAGTATATTCTT